AGCATAGGTTCAAAAATCCGGATTCTTCGCCCCGCCCCTAAATTACTCAATCCGCCCCTAAATTGCTCAAATATGCCACATGCGTTCTAAAGTTGGATGAGTCATCCGCTATCGTTACAGCTTCTCTGAGACTGACATACATGGCACAGTTTCTATCTCAGTGACCCATACCAGTGTGCTTAGCTAATAAATGTAGTTACGTGGTGGAGCTCAGTACGCTCAGTACGTGTTCAGGGCGGCCATTGGCCGCCGGTCAAGATCAGTAGATAGCACGGCTCAACACAACGATGTGAAATTAGATTGATCATTGCGTCGGCCAAGGTTTCGAAACATTCAAGCCAGTGGTTGGTCAGGTTCGAACATGTATCTTTGAGACGGGCAAAGTCAGTAGATAGCACGGCTCAACACAACGATGTGAAACTAGATTGATCATTGCGTCGGCCAAGGTTTCGAAACGTTCAAGCCAGTGGCTGGTCAAGTTCGAACATGTATCTTTCAGATGGCCAAGGTCAAGCGTGATGCACATGAGTTTTCCTCAAGATGTCATGGCAGTCAACAAAGCCACGTGACATGCTTGCAGTGAAGCTTCAGGGACGCTCGGGTAGCTTGAAAAGTTAGGGGCCGGTACGAGTCATTTAGGGGCGGATTGGGCAATTTAGGGGCGGATTGAGTACCTTAGGGGCGACGAATCTAGGGGCGCGGATGAGCAGGTGCCGGGTTTCAGTGGTTCCATTGTGCGCAACTTTTCGAAATAGAAAATACATAAAAATGCCGGAGCCTTGGATCGAACCGGCGTCCCTAAATCGAAAGAATCGATTCGAGATCGATTCTCGGTTACCGGTATCGATATTGGACCAATCGATTGTATAACCTCTGGGACCGAATCGATTCGAGATCGAGCCTCGAAGCTCGAAAAGTTCAGAAGTATGAAAGAGAGCAATGCAGCGAGTAAAACGCACGGTTCAAATACCTTATACCTCCGTGAACATCGCTTACTACCTCTTCCAATGTTTCAAGCGCAGGTTCAGAATCAGTGAATTCAACTGTTCCCAGTTGCGCAATACAGCGGTCAAACATCCTATCGAGCCTGCTGACGCGGAGTTGATACTGACTCGATGCAACCCCAGATCAGATCCACCGAGTGCTTCGTACTCATCTCGTATAAGTTTCGGCGAATCCTCACCGAGAAAGCCGAGCAAGCATTTGAGCACTTGCCGGATATTGACAAACTGGCCATCCATAAGGTCATAATGGCGCGTTGATTGCAAGTAGCAAAGCAAAAACAGGGAGCAACGAGGTCGTGACCTGGGTACTGGCACCGCAACGTTGATCCCCATCGTGTTGTGAGTGCGGTGATGTCTTGTTCCCAGGGCTTGGTCCCCCCCCGGTGCTCGTAGTGATCCTAGGGCAGTGTGGGCGGTAGTGTTAGCCCCTAGGCGTTGACTCAACACATCGGGTGCGTTGACAACGAAAAGAGAAAATATGATCAATGGTGTTTTTGCAATGAGATGTAATGGAATTTCGAAAGAGGATTATGCCAGCCACCGGAGAAGTCAATAAGAGCGTTGGGGGCACCAGCGTCGAAGAGGTCTTGTGTATGGCCTCGGCGGAGAGAGTGTGAGGAGAAGGATTTCCAGTTTGCTACTCCAGCATCATGTAGGCAGGTCTTGAGATGGCGGTTGAAGGCAGAGAGAGAGATGGGTTGGTTGAGTTGGGCGACCAAGGAGGCTGCTCGGACTGGGCAAAGCATTCGGCCCCAAGTGGTGCACGTGCACCTCCGAGTTAGATGACAGGGCTGAGAAGAGTTTTTCTGTGTCGAAGATGAAGGTGACAGAGATCGCCGTCGACTGTGATGTAGTAGTTAGTAGGATCAAGGAGTTCAGAAGGCGTACGAAGGTCGAAGCAGTATGCCAGAACCAGCAGGGCTTGGAATAGTAGTAAGCGTTTAGAGCACGCTATAGTCGAGACCGTATATAATAGTCGGCGGGAGAGGAAAGCCTTGTCTCTCTTGGAGTTAAGTTTCCATCTTCGTGCACCGTGATTGATGATTGCGGTCAGGGGGTTAGAGAATTGTAGAGGGAGTTGTAGGATGTTGTGTATGTTGGTAAGGGCCGGAAGAAATGATGAGTGGCAACCAAGAGCGATAAAGGTACGTACGCTAGCTGCTGAGGCCGGGATGGAGGGGAGAAGAGGGAACTGACTCCAATGCCAACGAATGAAGCGAGTGATGCAACACCTGTAGGTCTTCCAAGTGGACGCTGACAAGTGAGCATTGATGCTTTGCTGGAGGGGATCGGGGTGGACGCGAATGTTATTGAGCCAGAGCATACACCGAGTCTCAGGGGATGAGAGGAGAATACTCAGCTTGATGAGGGTGCCTGAGTGGAGATTGAGTGGTCTCCATAGATGGAGCTGATGCCAAGAAGAGATTGGCTCGTTGAGGATGGCATTGATGAGGAGTTGTGGATGCTTTATCACATGTCGAATGACGAGTGATACTTCGGCGAAGAATGACATCCGAGGTGGTTGAAGTGTTGCAGATCAATGTGGTAGACTGTAGTAAGTCATAAGACATCTAATGTCCACTGTGGTAATGAGATGGGGATAGACTTTGCGTCTTCTAACCATGGCTGATCAAAGTCATGACGACTGACAGAGTCTGCCGGGTTCAGAGAAGAACTCACACGACTGATGAAAACGTTGTATATGGGTAAGTTGGCAACGTTCAACCAAAAGAGGGAGGCTGCATGGTTGAGTTGGGAAGAAGAGCTTGAACCCGTGTAGATGAGAGATTCAGCGACGGTGTTGTCTAGGAAGAGTATGATGAAAGCCGTCCCAGGTCGAGTAGTTGCAGAGAGTGTGTGAACTGCGATGGCACCTGCAAGGAGCTCAAGGATATTGATGTGAGGCCTTGAAGAGGTGTAGTGTTGGGCCATGTTCACGAAACCGTAAACCGCTTGGTGTGGAGCAGATGGAGGTGAGAAGAATCCCAAGTTGCCGTCGCCGGTAGCATCAGCATAGCATATTAGTCGTTGAGGTGTGAGACGTAGTTCATTGACGAGGTTCCTGGTAAAGATGTTGGGTTTGTGGAGGATATAGAGGAGAGACTCGATACTAGCCACGAGAGTGGCATCGGGCACGTGTAGGCCGAGTGACGACCGAATGAGGGAACGGATGAACCCACGTCCAGCCTTGCCTAGGAAGGCCTCGGCGGCGAAGGTCAGTTTCCCAGCCAGTTTTGAAGAGATCTTCGCTCTTCTGGTTTTAATGTCGGTGAGACTGGAAATGAGTCGATGACGTCGAGACTCGTCGAGCGTGATAAAGAAGCCACCATGGCTGAGGTCGATGATGAGACCAAGTAGCAGATTCGAAGAGGCTGGAGGTATGTCCTTGGTGTGTTTGATACGGGCACCTGTACAATATTCCATAATGAACTCTATGCCGGAACAAGCAGATGTACTGAGTTGAGGAGGGCCAAGGGCAAAGAAATCGTCAAGATAACTGAAGGCATTGATGAAAAGAAGGGAGCGGCAGAGGTGAGCATGTAGTTCGCTAACCCGGAGGAAATTTGTGACGCTACCAATGGCTCCGAAAGTGAGCACCAGGGGAATGACGATTGAAGGTTCAAGCGTTTCCGAGAGGAAGATACCGGCAGAGTAGAGAGAGTCGTCAGGTTGAGATGAGCCGTATCTTGTCGGATTGTCGGATGGGGAAGACTGGAGAGCAGAGTTTGCAGTGAGATCTCCAAGTTGAGAGTGGGAATGGGCCACGAGCTCTTCCTTTCGAGCACTCGTCCAAGACGTCCTTGATTACAGCGGTTTTCATGTCGTGGTCCGTAGGAGCAGTCCGACGGAGATAACTTGAAATAGCAGAAGCGTCCTTATCCGAGAATATCATCGAGGACTTGTCTCCTAGGGCTAGTTTAGGTTTCTTGGCGGGGGGGAATAAGTTGCCCGAGGGAATGACCCCTGTTTGTGGAAAACCGTCTCGAAGGCAAGAAACAACCTCGTGGTCACGAAAATGAGTTATTCTGGTGAGGTAGGTAAGATTGTTGAGGCGCCAGTGTGAAGGCATTGGTGGCTGTTCGAGGGTGTGGAGGACGTCGTCGGACTCCAGCAACATATGAAGACGAGCTTGATTGTGAGCTCTTATGTCCTCGATGACCGATGGGTCTACGTAGTTGTGAGTAGCTATGGTACCAAGGAGCATGGTGGGGAGAACAGGACTTCCTCCAAAGGAGAGGTCGGCGTGAGTGGCAGTGTCGATGTGTTGTGGAATGGAGGTAGCATTAGTGAAGGAGTCGCTGAAGACTCGAAGAGCTTCACGGGAAGCTCCTTCATATGGGTAACCGTAGGTGCAACAAAGGATGTCGCGAGGTCTTAGAATGAAAAGATCGTCGGCGAAAACACATTCGAGCATGGAGGAGAGACTAGCCTTGTGTAGAGCCGCTCGCAAGAGTCGACAGGTAGAGGAGAACCAACTGCGACTTCCATGACGGGACCGTTTAGAGGTGTGAAGACGTATGGTTGGTGGCATATGCTGTGAGCGTTCAACAATGGAAAGGGAGTGAATGTAACTGAGTGAGAATTGATGCTGAGCAGTGAACTCGGAAGTGGGTTAGAGGTGAGAATCAATGATGAGGAAATTGGGATGAGATGTGAATGATGATCGGTGACATGAGATGAGAGGGATAAATGTGGTGTCTACTGAGATCCATTTCAGTGGCTGTAGACTATCGTATGGTAGTAGAGATAAACAGGGAAAAAGAATGGTGGGGGTACGTAGGCTCAGAAAGGTAGCGGTAGACTAGGAGAAGGAGTGATGTTGAGGATCAGACTTGACCGGGTTGTCGATACCAGTGCTGGAGGTTGTGGGACCTTGAATGTGACTGTTAGCTGGCACTGAATCGGAAGGGAATCTAGTGCCTTTGCCACCTTTGCCTTTGCCTCCTTTAGAGGTGACAAGTTGGGGTGGAGGAGCAATGAAGCCAGTAAATCGGCTTAGGGCTTGTTCAATATCCGGGCATCGGTCGCATGGAGTAGTGAGGTTGTAGTTGGGACACCTGCCTTCGATGACAATGGAAAGGAGTTCAGTTAGAGCAGATTCGAGGAGGAAACGTGCTCGGCTAGTACCGTCACGACCGAAAGCGGCATCAGAAAGGCGTCCTTGGAAAGCAATACACGCGATTGGGCGGATAACCCCACTCAAGGCAAGTCGAGACGACAGACCAAGACCGGACATGATGATAGCGCTTAATGAGGTTAGTGATGAAGGTTGCGCTTTGTCAATGTGTTTAATGCGCCTCCAGGATGGAGGGATAAAGTCTGGCCAGTCCCTGTCAAGGAAGTGGCTCAGTGTGTTAGACTTTGGGAGGTCGGCCACGAGATAACCGGGCATCGATGGGGCATTCGTAGGAGAGTGTTGCGGTACTGTAGCGACCGGCAGGTCATGAGTAGGGAGGGAAGCATGTGGTGAGTGTTGACTAATGAAGGCTCGAGTTTGAGAGTCATGGTCGGAGATGGTAGGAAGGTCGAGAGTGGCGTCGAGTCGACGCCGTCGACTAGTGCAGGAGAGACTGGTGAGACCGGGGGGAGGGGGTCAACAGGCGAACCAAGTTCGACAGTGTGCGTCTTAGAGGGGAGTGAAGTAGTAACCTCCTGAGGAGGCAGGCTTGTGACGGGTTGGTGGTGCTTGAGCTTCTTGACTGAAGAAGGCTTGCTACGAGTAGAGCGTTTTGGCATTGAGAGCTCCTTGGTGGAAGAGAATGATGAAGCTGAGAAGCACAGTGGTAGGCGGTGAGTTAGAGTGGAACTCCCGAACCCGAGTGGACTAGCCACGTCCGAAGTAGGTGAGAAAGTCCGCTTAGAACGGGCTGGTTGACAATGCCCGGACATGGGGCAACGCTCGTGTGGCGCGAGCGGAGGAGGTGATATGTGTCGGTCATTGGAAGCTGGACTGTGTGAGTCCAGGAGCTAGTGTGCTCATGATGGATGGTCTTGAGCCGATCCATTCAGCTTCCTCAATAGCTAATAGTCGAGCACGCAAACTCAGGTGGCTTTTGCGCTCGCCTAAATCGCGCCGCTTCCTTCAATGTATTGTCCCTCTCCTCACGCCGAAAGACTAAAACCCTCCAAGATATCCGAGGAGGTACCAATTTCATGAGCAAGGATTTCTTTATAATTCTTGTTGCTATCGATCATAGTCGAGAGGCGACTCCTGACACCAGCTCTCACACCCTTGAAGAATGAGGAACTTGGTGATGTCACGCTAAACTTTTTTTTACGGTTTACGTTACGGCGTGCGTAACGTAAGCATTTTACTGTTACGGAAATGCCTTACGACTTTACGGCTGGTGCTGAACTGCTTTTTCAAAATTGTGGCAAAGAGATTCGCTCTAATGCACTCAACGATAGCTCAAATAGTTGTTAAACTCGTTCTTTGTGGCTCGGATCCAACCGAACCGATGAGAGGGTAACATTTGGTTTCGCATTTATCACTCGTCTCCTTTGCAAATTCCGTCCGTCTCACTCCCAGGCTGGCCCGGAACTGCCAAGCTGGCCTCATCCACGGATTCGCATTCACATGAAATAGAATTAGGCGACTTAAATGATCAATCCTCGTTTTGTCCTTTGTATCTCCGTAAGACCCGTTACGGCGCCGCAATTTAACGGTACGGGGCTTGAAGCGTAACCGTAAAAGTAAACCGTAACGGCCCGTAACGTAATTCTGCCCATCTATACGTCACGCTGGAAGGGTAAATATTATCTAAAACACAAGGACATCAACAACGATTCATACTGCGCCAATCCATACAGGCGGTCACTGACCGCCGGTCAGCGTCGATGGGGAAGCATATTAATTGCACGTCACGGCTGCTTACGTGGAAGTAAATCTTTCTCACACATGCCGACGATGAATGCGATAACATCATCCTTCAAAGCTGAACTTAAGTAATCCAGGTGAAGTTCACCTGGTGAACGTTGCTCCTCCATGGCAGTGTTTGTACTTCTCCTTTACGATAATACGTAAATCCAACAACGGTAACGAAATGCTGATCGCCAGTGTCCTTGAGGGATAGAGATCGCCAGCGGCTGGCGGCCAGCCATTGATTATGATACCTATTGTTGAAGTGCGAGCAATTAACTCGGTGATAATAGTGCTAAGCTCATCCTTGACGATCGAGTCGCGAATCTCTTTTATGATCTTTGGTTTAAGGTCCTCAACCTTGCTGTAGAATTGTGGACGGAGAGCACGAAATGCTTCCCGCACACAGGGATGCAACACTCTATCAATATCCCATCCACTAACCATGCAGCGGCGAATGAACTTCTTGTAGAAGTTCTCAACGCAAGCTGCTGAGGGGAGAGGAACGAATGCAGAGGGAATTTTGGGGCATTGTTTAACGTCGGACTGGGCCAGAGCAACAGTTATACTGTTGTGAGTTATTGTTTATACAATCCGAGAATACGATGATGGAATGAGGGAACTGTTGGATGAGGAAATTGTTAACGGCTTGTCGATTGAAATGTCACCGCACTGCTTATGATAACAGGGCAAAAACTTGTAAGGCTTGATTGAATTTATCGGATGTGGAAAATATTCACCAAGACCGACCCAAGCGCAAATTCACGACGCGAGCTCCAAACTCAACAGTTGGACGTAAAGAATTATTTTAGTCAAATGATTTGATTCGAATCCCCACCGTTACGATTGTTACGTAGCTCCAGTCACCGGCACGACAGAACACGACAGGGCAATCTGTAAGGAGTCTGCAATCTTCTGTTAGCCGAAACCACAAAAGCTATATGCTATCGATCAAGTTGGCGCATACAGCATATCTCAACTGGGACAACTATACTGAAGTCAGAATCGACTCGACAATATGACCAAATACTACTTGGCAACTAGATGTGACTTATCATATGAACGGACATATGGTCAACCTTCCTTAACAACGATCGCATGTCACACCAGAGTCTGATGATCAGACCTTCAGTGAAGGTCACCTTCACATTCGAAATAAATGAATCGAATGACTTGA